CTTCCAACACCTCTTTTTCCTCTGTATCCTCACCCAGGCTCTCGTTTTCAAACTCCAAGAATGTTTCAACTTCATCCTCTAATGAATCACAGTGTAACCAGCCACCATCTTCCTCCTCATTCTCCTCCCTTCGAACCCTGGAGTATCTTGGGTTTGAGTGATCCTCTATCAACCTACCTCAATCCCCTTCTTTGGGATTAATTAAGAGATCCACTGAAAATTTTGTTTTGAGGTGTTCTATTTACTCAGGCCCTTTCGACCTTCAAACTGTTGAAGTGATTTTGGAGAAGAAAATAGACCAACATAATTGCCTCCCAACAAGCCATTTGAAACCCAACTCACATGACTACTTAAGTTGTCACATGAAGTGGTTTGGTTCAACCCCAACCAACCCAAGTTAAGCCAAATTGGGTCAGTTAGAGTTTTTTGCTTCCCTTGTTCAGATGGAGGTGGGTCCCACCCTTGATCACATCAAACAAAGCCCCCCTCTCAACCAATTCAGAGATTGAAGGTCCAACCAACATCCTCCCTACTTCCTCCATGTAAGCCTGCATTAGCCAGCTTAGCATCGTCTTCCTCCTTGCGACAAACATTCCAAAGGGAAGCTTCAACTTCTGTTAGCAACCAAATCTTCCCCCACAGTCCCTCAACGAGGATAGCCAATGATTTTGAAACATCCTCTAGTTTTACACCAAATACTCTAATGTTCACCGCATATAGATCATTTGTGTCAAAGCTTTCTAGGAACCCTCCCAGAGTTCTAGTGATCCTAGTTAATAATAGTTATCTCGGGTTGTCTCATTTTAACAGCAATTAAGATAACTTCTTCTTTATTTGTATCCAATTTAGATTCCAAACCAATATTTTCATATGCCTCTTCTATATCCTTTATCTTCCTTTCATCTTTCCTTTTCTCAATAAGAAGCAAGAAGTCTTGTAGTTTGTCTGCAAACACCCCCCAACCAGCATTCGTTCTTCCTAGCTACCGTCAATTGGCTCTTCCATCCAACCTGTTTGAGAGAGAATACTACTCTCTCAAAAAAACCCTTCAACCAAAGAACTACATCTTCTTCTAGGATCACTATATCTCTCTTTCCCTCCCTTCCTTCAACAACCAGTGGCCAACATTCCTCCATTCTTCAAAAAGGAATTTTTTTGCTTCAACCTCTACTACTTGTCTCCAGACCCCAACCACCCTGAATCCTTCGTCACCCATTGTTTCCTCTCGATATTGGTTACTTTACCCTTTCCTTAATTTGTTTCCTCTTGAGGACACTTCTACATGACATTGTTTTTATCAGCAAAGAAAATTTATTTATTAAATTATTAATACTATTTATTAGTTATAGTACAAGGGCAACCCATCATATATGTGACCCAAGTTACAATAGATTACATCATTGCCCAAAATAAAATGGGTATATCAACCCCCTACTTTGCTAGCACATTGGCCAACCCGTTTGCTTCCCTTTTCACCCAACCAAAACTAGAATTAAATTTCCTTGCAAGTAGGTCAATTTGTCTAAAAATAAATCTGAATTTCCAAGGCACCAATTCACTTTGCTTTTCCCAAGTTATGACCAGTAGTGAATCCCCTTCAATTTCCAGTTCTCTTGCTCCTAACTTCTTGGCAAGTTTCAAGCCCTGCAGAAAAGCCAAAGTTTCAAGTTGAATCGAGCCAAAATCCAATTGGTCCTGAGAACAATGCCACTACTACTCCTTGATGATTCCAAAAAACCCCCCTATTCATGCTCTTCTTGGATTACCAAATGAGCTGCCATCAAAGTTTAGTTTTAACTTATTTACTCCTGGTGGTTTCCATTCCATTATTGCACTTTCTTTATATGTTTCTGATTGCGCCACTTCTCTCCAACTCCTTAATATGTCATCTGTAGAAACATCCCTGAATAGTTCCAAAGTTTTAACCCAGTGTGCAGATCTAATTTTTATGGCTTCAATCACTTCCTCCTTTGACTTACTTTTTTTATTGAATATCCTTTGATTTCTTTCTTCCCATATAGACCAAACCAAAGTTACTCTTACTGCCTTCCACATACACTTTTCCCTTTTCTTTTGTTGCCTTGGGAAATTGGAGCTTAACAAAACTCACTACATCTTGTGGGGAGGCACATTTGCAACCAAAGAGAGAAAAAAAGTAATTCCAAATATAAGATACAAAGGAACAAAAGATTAGTAAGTGAGGGAGGGTTTCACCACAAGCCTTACAAAGGACAAACACAAGGAGAAAGGCAACTATTTGGCCTTCTTTTCTGTAGCACATCACAAGTGTTTACCTTCCCTAGGAACATCTCCCAACAAAGAGCATGTACTTTATGAAGTATTCATTTGCACCAGATTTCTCTCACAAGGTAATTTACCCCCACCAGATTTCTCTCACAAAGGGTCAGTAGATTAAAAAAGGAGGCACAAGAAAACAAGCCATCATGGGCTGGATGCCAAATTCTACCCATTATCAAAACCATTTTGATCCAAGTAAACCATCTCCAAGTTTGAAAGCATGAGGAGGGAATCACATTCATTATCTCTCAAGCCCCTTCTAAACCCAAAGTCCCAATTTATCCCGAATTGTAATGACACTCTAGCCCTGGCTTCAGGTTCAGCCTTAAGATTTAACAAGTAAAGGTCAGGAAATTGCAATTAAGGGCTGGTCCCAAGCCAATCTTTCCAAAATAAGACCTTATTCCCACACCCAACACCAAAATGAATGAAATTAAGAAAAATAGACAATACCTCAATGATTACTTTCCAGGCGAGTTGGAAGCTGCATCAGAAGCTAATTTTGCATCCCAACCATTGTCTATTACACCACAAATGCTTTCAATGACCCTATGCCGAAGTCTATTTCCTCATGAGGAAATCTCCATAGCCATTTACCTAGAAGAGTTTCAAACTTACTGTGTTTGGGGTAAAATGGACCCGCCTTTGTCTCCATGTGACAGGCCAACAGATCCATCTGTCTAGTTCAACAATAGGTTGCAAACATTGTAGGGAAGCCTTGATAGCTCTTCTCTTGCAAGCGTTCCCCAATCCAACCTTCTGACCCTCCCACATTCCAAATTTCCAATTAACAATTCTCATAGGCCATAGGAGACAATTATTTTGGGCTCAATTGTAAAATTTAAAATGTACAGGGGAGGGTTAGCAAGGGCTGTGCCCTCTTAGGCTGTACAGATATGCACAGAAAGACTCATGATGTACACCTATATTTTCTCTTGATAAAAAATTCTGTTATTCATCAAAAAAAAATCTCATAGGCCACAAATTAGAACACCAACATCCTCGAATAACTACAACCTAGAGCCCCCACATTCTCTCCCTCATTGAACCCTCCTCTCTGTCATACACAATCCACTCCTCCACTTCAGAAATTTCTCCTTTTTTTTCTTACTTTACTAGAAGAACCCATATCTGGAGAATGTCTTATTCTCCTTTTCCAACCACAACCCAATGGCACATTCAAGAATAGGGTCAAGACATGGTCCATAGTGTAATGCAGGAAAAAGGTTAGGAATAGGAATTGGTTGCGCAAGGGCACCAGGATACTCATTTCTAGCAGTCATCTCACTAATGGGGTGGGCAGGGAGTGGGATCAAACAGGGACTAGAAGAACCTAACCAGTTAGATATTGAAGCCAAACATTGGGGACTATCAGATACCTGCAACATTAAGGAACCCATGGGGATAAGCAGGATGTCTGTCTGTTCTCACACCAACAGAAGATCAGCAATCTAGTTCCACTCCATCCATCACCTTATTAACAAGAGACCCCATTGGGGCATCTAAATGATCCAGCTCACAATGACAACCACCTAGGATTTTCATCCCATAACAAAAGCTCCCCTTCTCCTAGGGAAAAGGTTATTGGCAACCTATCAGTTCCTGTGGTATTCTGTAAAAGATCCTTCAGATGGTTCAGAAAGCCTAGCAACATCAGCAACCTGAGAGGTAGGAAAACAAAGAAAACTGCAAGGAAACAGAATTACCTGGAGTTAGACAGGAGGAAATACAAGCCATGCTTTCCAGACAAGAGGGACATTACATTCTAGTGGGGTTTCAAGAACAATCACAATATTGTCAAATGTCAACTGAACCTTCGCTGACCAATTAAGAGATAATAATATATCTAAAGCATTAGTAAAATAGCACCTGTGACACTCTCCAACTGAATAGAGCTGGATTTGGATCCAAAAGACCCGTTTATCTTAGTTTTTCTAAGTACTCTTAATAAAATGTAGCAAAATGCATAACTTGCTAACTCCCCAATTGATTCATTGACTCCCTTGAGTCGGCTCTGCTCCCAAGAAGCAGAAGCCAAATCATAGTGATGATTCCAAATGTGGAAGACCACCACGAGTCATGACCAACTCCTCTGACTCAAGCAATTGACCCCAATAACTAATTTCACTCCCGTACAGATCACTTGAAGCTTCTTAGTGTGCTGATATAATAAAATTAGTAAGTTTTTCATATTCTTTTCTAGGCGCACGCCTATTTTGTTTTAATGTTAGTACATTCTAGATTTATTTTCACTAAGCAGAACATTATAGTTTTTTTGATAGGTAAGCAGAGCATTATATTATTCATGCTACTATTTCTAATTAGTCACAATTGGAGTCCAGGATTTCTTATAGGAAGACAATGTAAAGTAATGTAGTCATGTCCCATAAAATTCTAAAGATAATAGCGTGACTCCCAAAATCGATCCCGTGACTACGAATTTAACTCCACCACTGACTTTGAAGAGCCAAGTAAATAAACCCGACTTGTGAAGCTATGGAAAAATGAAATCATTGCGTTTGAACCAGTGTCCATGTCTAAATACACAACTAGATAGAAAGACAATATCCATTAGTTATTTCTAGCTAATTATAAACAACACAACAGATGCAGTCCAAAAAGCTAAACACCTTGGTTATCAGAATACAAAACTATTGATTATTAATAATCGATAAAAGATTGATGGAGAGAGGGCGCCTGACGTTGACATGTGATTGCTGACGGTGATGAGGGGAACACCAGGAGGTCGGGAGTGGACTAGACGAATAAGGGTTTCGGCGTTGTGAACGGAGGTAGAGTTGAGGAGGGTGTCAACCACCTTGGCGAATGCCCCCACTGCAATGAAGACGAGCTTCCGAGGAATCCCTCCTAGGTGGCTCGATCGCCCCGCCCATTCCATCTTCCGTCCCATGTCGAAGTCGCTAGCTGCCGTAAAGAGGGGCGAATCCATAAGCCGTGATACAGCGATAAGAGGTTATACTTTCGCAAGTTGTGCCTCTCGGTTTCATTTTCTAGCAAGAACCGAACCCGAGTTCGGATTTGCTACTGGCTGACCTCTCGGCTCTCGGCTCTCGCTAGTCGCTATTGTACAGTTCTCACGCCTAAGGCCTAACTCACGAAGTTTGCATCAGCGGCGAACGTGGCGACTGCCAATAAAATTTTGGGGTTTTTACGGGCAAGTCCACCTCAGAAAACGAAATCTCGAATAGCCTGGTACGGCATTCGAAACCTCGTGGAGTCCACTTAACAAATCAGTATTTACGAGCAACTCCACCTGCCTCATACATCAGCGAAAAATTTTGTGAGTTTTCCCATTATAACCCTTAATGCAAAAAGAAGAAGAAATTTCTTCGCTGTTCTTGTTCCTGAGTTTTCGAACGTTGGAAGGATTCTCAGAGCCCCTTGTGTTCCTCGTTCACCGGCCGTCGGAGGCACCCTTCATTTGCTCTCCTTCCTCCTGAGTTTTCAAAGTTGGAACCTCTCTTTTACCTGTGTTTTCAAACGTTTGAAGATTCTCAGAAATTCCCTCTTCGCTCTCCTCCTTCCCGAGTGTTTGAACGTTGGAAGGATTCTCATAGGCCCCCCTGTGTTCACCTCCGTTCACCGGTCGTTGAAAGGAATCTCGATTTATACCCTTGAACACAAAAATGAAGAAGAAAGTGAAGACATCTCTTCGATCCCTTCTTCCCCAAGTTTCGACTATTGGAAGGATTCTCAGAGGCCCTCTGTGTTCACCGGCCGTCGGAGACACCATTCGTTCACCGTTGGAAGAAAGCTCAAAGCTCTGTTTACCGGCAGAAATATCTTCAGTCTCCTTCTTCCCCTGGCTTTGAGCGTCGGAAGGATTCTCATAGACGCTCCCTAGTCCCATTAACTTCAGTACGGTAAGGACCTATCTGAGAATGAATTGTTTAATGTTGATGTGGGAGTTTTAATTTCCAATTGTAATTATCCTTTGTGTTGTCTCTCGAACTGGAGTTGGAATAGCTCCATTTTAGTAGGCATTCAAGCAATAGTTACTAGGACTATGTTCAATACAAACTGGAACATTGTTGCATTATACAAACCGCACTGTACAGACCATTTGTTTGGTGAATACCTTGTATTGAATGATTTATATTTGGGAGTTGATTTCTCAGTTTGGTTGAGTGATAGTTGATTTTTGCCATTGCTTATATGTAATTGAAATGGTATACTGTGTGATGATTGTCTTTTGTGCTAATGTACGGGAGTTAAATTCTTGACAGGAAATGTCAAGTGCAAAAATTGGGGTTAGGTGTTTCACTAAACGGTTTAGAGAGATGTGAATAGTTTGCCACTAAGTTTGCAGCACAAAAGACACCCTTTGCTCACTTCTTAGATTTGCCACACATACCTATGGAAACGTCCCTTCTAAGTGATCTACAAAAATCCTAGGACTCGAATAGTATTGCTTTACATTGGTGGAAGGATTGTGAAATTTTTCGAGGCCAATGTTGCATTGATAACAAGGCTTGGCCTATCGGGTAATACTATTGCCCTATTGGAAGGCCTTCCCACTAGGAGATTGTTCATGGCTTCATTTGGATTGGACGAAAATCACTCCGAGTTGGATGTGGTGTGGCGTAGACTGAAAAAGATTGTTCTTTTGGATGGTGAGGAGCACATTGAGGAGGTGGTAAAGTTGATTATATTGTTCTTATTCAGTTGTGTGTTGTTTCCCCAAGGCAACTTGAGAGTGAGCACCTTCTGGGTTGGATACGTTGACAATTTACAACGTATCAGTGATCATGCTTTGAGAAAATGTGTACATGATTACCTAGTTGGTGGTATGACCGGATTGTATCCGATGCTGGTGCTGGATTGAGCAGGGGCGCATCCTCGTTCAACAGAAACCTATTTGGATGCAGCGTTGTATTGATGGTTAGTGTTAATAGTATTCACTTTTTTATTTATTTATACTTTACGTAAATCCCATTCAACTACCATTACTTATTGGTTGTTTGCTTTTTGTAGTCGTGGTTGTACGAGCACGCAATGCTTTTCACTCCTTCAGTTCCCGATACTAGTCCTCATTTGTTCAAGTGAGGGTACATGGGTTACCAATGGAACGTGAAGAGAACTAATTTGTTGAAGAAAGATAGACTACAAACGGTTCTCACTCCTACTCCTCTACTTATGATGTTTTTGTTTTTATTTGTTTAATTATGAGGAGACCCAAGATCTCACATGGATTTTTGAACTCATTACAAGTTGTTGAGGTTCTGAACCCTACCAATGAGGAGATGGCCTTGGTGAAGGTTCAGTTGGAGGGCTGTGTAAGTTGAATTCATGAGATTGTTTTTGTTTTCTGAGTCCTTTATGTGACCCAACTACATGGTAGTTGATTTTTATAGAGCAATAAACCTTTGGTGTTCATATCCTTGCGGAGTCAAGGGGCCATAGCGTGAGTAAAGAATCATTGAGCGATAGTGAGGACCCTAGTCATAGGTGGATCGTAAGGGGTAGAAGGTATTATTAGCGTAACTTACATGTTTCGAGTTATATATAAATTGACGAACTAGTAGTGTTGAGATTTGTTAACCAACTCCTAACTTGATTTTAAAGGGATTCTGCAAATCTTGTGTTAAATCTATGGAATATCAAATTTTGTGTATGGAGGCCAACCAGTACATCTCGACGAAAAAGCAAAATGAAGCACTTCGTGAAGAAGTTACAAGGCTTCATGCAATGTTGACAAGTAATGGTCTGGATCTGGATGGAGTACCATTGAGTAAGGGCCTGACAGCTTTGGCAACATGCTTGCCAGAAGTTGTTGATTATGGTGCAGAAATGCCTACTAGAGTCGTAGGCGACATCGCAAAGGTAGAGTATTCTCCTGAAAGGGCTAGCACATATGTTGTACCCCATCTTGCGAGATCGTTAATGTATCGCCCTCCATTGCCTCTACCTACAAATGTAGGTTTTCTCGGTCAAGGAGAAAGTGGAAGCAAAACAGCATAGTGGTGTTGCCTTACCTAGCTCCTAGGCAGCAAGGACATAGCGAAAGAGTTTGCCATTGTTGTAAGGTCCAAAAGAGTAGAAAAGGGGAAGGTGAAGTGATAATCGTTGTTGTTGTCTCGGTCTTGTCTCTAGGGTTGAGTTGTTTAGTATTGTAGTGACTTGTGGAGTATTGGGTGCAATTCGTGGATGCACAACCATTGTAGTCTTCTTTTAAGAGGAAGGAATTACTCTCGAAAAAAGATTTGATAGTTATGTAATGGTTCTTGAACAACTCCAAGAGAGGGCAAGTGCACATGATTGTATATTGGATTTTATCTATTTTATTAATTTTCTTTATACTTGATTTTGTCCATTTAATTTTTATTGTGTAATGAAGTTGATGAATGGTTATTCTCATGGTAATGAACAATTAGTATAGAGTGATGGTGTGGTGTTTCTGACCCCAAATTGCCTATTGCCCATCTTAAACCATGAAGCATGGCTCTATGATAAGGTATTATTGTAAGTACATGCTTCATTATCACTGGGACTATGGTGGGGGTGTTAAAAGAAAAACGGAGAAATCCCAACCGGGACACCTATGTAATGGCACGACGACACTTTATCAAAGTAATGTAAGGCCTATGCACTTGTGATGAGCACAGAAGGCCATTCTACACTTGTGATGAGCATGAAGCACCATCTGAGACTTGTAATGAATATAAAACACCTCCCCGGATTTGCGATAAGCAATCAGCGCCACTTGAGACTTGCGATGAATATAAAATGATATCACAAGTTCGAGGTGAACCCAATGCACTATCAACACCTTGCGATGAGCATGAAATGAAAACTATTGTTGTAATGAACGGAGGATAAACCTCGAGGTCGACGACACCCGCCTACGGAAGATTGTCATTCATTTTTATTCACAACCAACTATGAAGAGGTGCCTTAAAGATGATCGAGCATAATACCTAGCACACTAATCAGATCCAAGTATTGCCCTATGTGTCCATAAGAAAACCCATAAGGGGACGTAACCTAATGCACCATGCGAGAATCCTTAGGAAAATGGAAATTTTGTCCTTAAAAAATCTCGTTAGACACGTGGCAAAATCACAATGGTGCTCCCTTAATAGTTGACATAAAGATAAAGATCCCCTTTCATAATAGTAAATGTCTCATTTTAGATCCTTCTTCTTATAGCCTTGGGGTCCTTTCTATAAAAAGGAAAATAATTCTCTCTTGCGTCAAACAACCACATGACTCTAACCTTATAATTTCTTAGAAGATCTCTCACTCTATCTCTTCTCTATTTCCCTCTCTTCCCCATTGTCTCTTTGGACCTTCAAAGACTTGACCAACCGCCAAGAGTCCATGGTGATTATAGCTATTTTAGTTTAGGGGGTGTTATATGTCGTACAAGGCTAATTGGCAATCCAGTTTCTGAGGTGAACTTGCCCATAAAAAATCCCCTTGTGCTTATTTGACATTATTGGTTTTGTAGGTGATAGATGTGTATGGGATTTTGTTGATGGAAAGGTCCACCAACACCATCAAGATATGTTATGTGTCTTTGATGACACTGGTATAGTTGTTGCTTGCAATTAGTTAAAATCCACACAGCCTAACGATGCATTTTGTAATATAATTTCAATGTTGTGTGTTTGTAATACATTTGTATTTCTCAGACGCCCACCATGATGTTTTGTATCAGTGGCTAAAACCCAAAGAAATATTGGTGTCTGATAAGGTGTTCATACCACTTTCGGGTCGCTCACACTGACAATTAATGGTGGTCAATATTTTGCACTAAAAATTTGAAGTGTACAATTCCCTAAACAGCAGCTGTCACCAAGTGTATGCAAGGACCATGATGCATATCATGGTGTTGATTTTTACACCATTGGTTAGGTAGAAGATAATGACTCGGTTTGTTGATGTATGTCTGTTTGATTTCACATGAACTGGCAACAAGCAACATTGAGGGAGAAATTAGCATCATTTGTTGTCGGGGTCACCAGTTAGCCCTTTGAATTCGTGGAGTCAGTCCCAAAACAATTTGGGTATGTGTTATGTGGTGAATGTGTAGGTGATGGGGTCCTTGTATGATGGTTATTAAATATGAGGAAAAATCTAATATATGTTTTGTATAGTGGGAGTGAGTGTGGCGTGTTTATAATGAAGTACATGGAATTCATCGCCCGGGGCGCAGATATTCACTTTGATCTAATGAGTATATATGAATTTTGTGTCTAAGAACACATGGAATTGTATCACGTTAGTA